GGCGTTCGCCTGCGATGGGAGGATGCGAGCACCACAAACAGGAAACAGTCGGTCCCATTGATCCCGAGATACATCGACGATTCGAGACGTCGAAGGAAGTCGATATCGCAGACCATGCCACCGATGTGAAAGCAGCTGGAAAGAGGAAAGTGGTCAAGAATTTATGGGAAGCGTTTTTTGTCTTCCGTGGATTGTTCTAACACTTTTACTTGTTTGACCTTTTCTGCTCGGTGGCTTGTATTTTCGTTTTTACGTTTTTCGCTCGGTGGACCATTTTTACACTTGTATTTATTCGCAGGTTGTACGGTTTCAAATTTCCGTGCGGTAGAGAGTCCATTCATTTTTACATGTTTTCTTTTCGTTTTTGCCAGTGAGTCATCTCGTATATTTGTTATATGTGAACTGTTTTAACAATTTTTCCGCACCACAGGGAGTGCACGGTGGCTTGGTTGTTTATGCATTTTTACAGTGGGTTCTGCCAGCCGAAATATTCGGTTTTTCGTGCGTACGGTTTTCACTGCGGGTGTGCGCTCGAGAACTGCCTATAGGTTTCAACAACGTTAAACCAGCACAGCAGGTGTGTTGCGTATGATTGGTGAATTGAGATATCTGCAGCCAATCGCAGGTCTTGGCAGAGGCAGCGTGGCAAGATTCTGCGTTTACCCATGCCGGAGCTGTCGGAGGTTTGTCAAGCAGCAGCACGAGTAAAATACTACGATGCCGGGAGCTTCGCTGACATTATGGCCGCCGTAAAGGCCCGCGTTGTCCTGCGGTCCGTGGTATCGGAACAATACTAAAGAGCCACTGGTTTTGTGCATGACGTGTGCCAAGTCTGCGCCTTCAGTAGGCATGACGGCGGCTGTTGTCAGAGCTGCTCTGTGTCCTTGCCAAACAGGTTCACCTCCGTGGGCACACATCACTTCGTCCGGAAGATATTGCTGGGGTGTTGAGTGGCCTCGCGGACGTGAATGGTTACGCCGCTTGGCCCATTCAGTAGCCCTTCGAAGTTCATCATAAGGTTGAGGTGGTCGCAATATTTCGCAATGACATCTGAGCCAAGTTGTCATCAGTAGTCGTTGCGAACCGCAGAGAGGAGAAGGAGCTGTTTGACCTGGCCGCTCAAGCGCTGAACCGTACGACGGGCCAGATTCTGCGGCCTGCCAGGAAGGCCATCCTGGACGCATTCAAGAAGGCCGGAACTTGGAAAGAGGGACTTTTAAACTAAGTTCGAAGCAGGCCACAAAACATGCGGGCTCAGAGCAGGTCAAGCACCGAACGGACACCCACACGGTTCTTCGGGAGATGTCCGAGCAGGAGGCAAAAGCACGCTACGAGGATAAGTGCTATGAGGTGGCGGCGAGCTGGCAGAAGCCAGGCGCCTGCTCCACCACTTGGAGAGGCTTCGGATAAGACAGATGTGGAGAAAAAAGTCCGCAAGTGCGCAGGGCATGGTGTTGCATGGCTTGAGCTGTGCTTCTTGTGGCGCCGCTTCTGCAGTCGATGTGGAGTTGCACAGGCGGTAGCTAACGGCTGCACCGAGTGCTGCAGGATGCACCACTGGACTTGGGAACAGAAGTTGCTCTGATGCAGCTTCAGATTGCGTGGACCTGCCTTTCCCGGCGCAAGAGTGCAGGGAAGTTATGTGCAGAGGCATTTTATCCTTCCAGAGTTTCGAGCATTGAGCGGCGCCCGGGCCCCAAGCAATCTGCATCTATCACTGGGTGAATCGACGTTGAAGCTCCTCCAGTTGCAGCTACTGCTACCGCGAAGATACTTTGTCTCCAGGGTTGGCCAAGCTTGCGTCGATGACTCACAGAATCATGGCTGCAGCCGGCTGTCGCACGACTCAGATGGCTTAATACTGCCAGAGATCGACGAACTAAATTTGTCCGATTGCGTACCGAGCTTCGGCCCGAGGTGAAGTCGCAGGTGACGTGCGCGCAAGATTCGCAACACTGTATGGTTGTCGACTGCGTGGGGTTCGATGGGATCGGTACGAGGGGCAGAACGGTGTTTTCTTGCGCCTCGTTGGCATGCGAGCAGTTGTGCACAGTGTGCAGCAAGTTGCGGTGACCACCAGATATCACGAGCATCGTGATTCATGGGGCGGGATGTGACTCCAGCTGCATTCGGTGATCCTGGCAAATAAGGCAGATTCAGGGCACAGCCAGCCTGGACACGACACCTCGAAAGAGCGATGCAGACGAAACCGGGGATGCCTTGTGGCAGCGTTTAGCAACGATGAGGATGTCTTTCTTTGGTTTCAATTGTGTGGCCAGTATATGGTCATTCCCAGGATGCGGGCAAAGTCAATGTCCGGCGGGTGCTTTGCACGTCTCTTCCCAGTGGAGAGGCTGATCCATGTATTCTATAAGCTTGTTGCAAAATTGTGCATCTCTGTGCTTCTGCACCCTTGCTCTCCATGAGTGAGCGCAGGTGGCCCCGGAGGACAGAGATCTGCCGAGCGCTGCTGGCGCAATCGGAGGGAAGGCCCTTGCTGCGGCGCTGCGGCTGCTTTGCGTGGCTGCCCAGACCATGTAGGGAAACTCTTTGTGGTGCCCATGAAAGAAACATGCGGAAACATTCGCGATCGTGATTACAGCACCCGGCTAAAGGCGAGGATTATAACTCGGCCGGGCTGCCTGACTTGCTGTGCGACGCCGAGTTTGCTGCGGTGTAAGGAGACACACCGAGCAACTGCCACGGAGTTATTCGTCATGAGGCTTTGGTCCTGGCACCTGGGCAGCGCACCTCGTGCCCGCTTCGTGGAGGTGAAGAGCGAGCGTGACAACCTCGCAAGGAGGCGGAAATGCATTTATGTATGGTCACACCCCCGCCGCCCTGCGGCATGGTCCAGGATGCCCCCCCCCTTCCCTGTGGAGTGGGGTGTGGGGTACCTCTTCCCCAGGTGGGGTGGTTGTGGCGGTTTGGGGTTTTGGAAGTTTAGGGTTTAGCTTAAGCTTTTGAGTTTTGGGTTCAGGGATCAGGGTTAACAGTTAAAAGGCTTCGAATCGACAAGGGCTTAGGGAGGGTAGGGGGTGTAGGTTCGTTAGGGTTGATGGTTTATGTTCTGCTTTAGGCTTAAGGCCTGCATTTCGGCGGGGTTTCGGCTTTGAGTGTAGGCTTTAAAGATCTTTAAAGTACAGGTCCGGTTAAGGTTAATGGAACAGGAGCACGCGCTACGTCATAGCGTTCACGCCTTGCGTAGGGCTTGCTTAAGATCCCGGCCCTCTTCCACCCTCCAGCTGCAGCTCTAACGGCCCCGACCCCTCTCCGTACACGCCGTACACGCCAGCCACCCCCCGCCCCTGCAAGACCATACGATAGGGGGGGAGGGGAACGCCAGACCCCTGACCATACGTAGCTGGCTAAGCAGGCGGTGTCCATGGTAATCCCGCAGGCAGCGCTTGTGGCTCGCAACCTTGCGGGGTGCAGGAGCTCAAGCGGAGGCAGGCGGCGCATGACTGCGCTGTGATGCAAAAGGCTGAGCCGGGCATTCGTCAGGTGTGCCATGTGCGCGATGGACGAGTACAGGCCAGCAGCTCGAGGGTTCCTGTGTGTCATTCGTGGACAAAGCCCGAGGAGCACGAGACAAGCCGACTGTCGTCCAACCGTGGGCCCCGTCGAAGACGATCAAAGGATCAAAGTGAAAGCAGTGAGGGGTTTTGAGTGCAAGTTGGGAGTGCACTCCGCACATTGCAGACAATGTAGACAGAAGTACTGGTAGGTCGGATTCTGTGATTCTGTGTCACACTTCCTTCATCCGACCGGCAGAAGGTGGGGCTTCCTTTTGCAGCAGAAACAAGCTGCATGAAAGCATAAGTCCAGCTTGCTCAGCCACCCATGTGCAGCGTGGCGAACGCACCCACCAGTTGTGCCGACTGAGGTGGAGAATGAGATTCCACCTTGGGAGGCCAGCGGCTTGAAGATCTCATGAGAGCATCATGTCCACGTCGGCTTCAATTAGGGTGTTTCGAATTCGTTCACTGGTATAGCTCCAGAAGCACGCGGGCCCCGGCGCTGTGCAAGAAAGCAGCTTCTGTCGGTCCTAGAAGAGTGAGGTTATCGTGCGGCGATCATTGGACGTGCTTAACCGGGCGTCTGCCACAGGCTTCTTGCTGCACAGTGTCAGGGTCACGAGCCCTCTCTCCACCCCGGCAGGTCGAAGCAAGCCCTTCCGAAATCTGATCACCGACAGGGACAGGGCCTTTAGTGCGCTCCATGTCGCCCCACTCCTCCCGTGTCTAGTTCTCTCACATGTTCATGAGCACAAACTGTACGCGAAATGACCATGATGGTAGGAACAGCAACAACAATGCGAAGTAGGCAAACGAACAGCTTCATGTGTCTTGTCTCGCCACGGTGCGGTTCGATGTGCCCATGCACAGAGGCCGTTGGTGTCACCTCATGAATGCTGCAGGATGGCACGACCAACAACTACTGCGATCGGTATGCCTCGAGCGTGCAGTCGGTGCCCCATGCTCTTTGAGAGAATCACTGCGGAGCCGAGAATTGTGTGGCTCAGGAAAGTAGTAGAGAGAGGGAGAGCTTGCAAGCGAGGTCTGCATACAATGCTGCGTGGCTCTCTTACTTTGCTCGACACTGTGTCGACAATGCCGTGCCTCGGCTGCAAAGCCGTCAATATCTGTACGATGCCACGCCTGCCAGTCGCCCTGCACTCATCTACCACGAGCCTCTGCATCAAAAGTGAAGCCGCGCTTGCTTAAGATCTGGCGCGGCCACGCTTATGCCTTCGCAGGTCTTTATCACGGCGGCGCCGCTTGGTGGAAGGCCGAGTGCTGAAGGCTTGATGGAGCTCTGCCAGGAACTGAGTGATTGAGCCTTTGAACAGCAGCAGAGCGGTGGTAATGAAAACAAATGATCTGTCAGGCACAGTCGTCTTGTATGCTCATTCCACGAGTGCTGCGGTCTTTAGGTGTCGCACCGAGAGGCTACTTTGTTTATACTGGATCGGGCCTCAGAGACTCTTTCAGCAGCTCCAAGCGATGCACCAGCAGACTGGACATTCACAGGCTCTAAAGGCCGTGAGTACTACAGTGCACGGCACCTGGACGTGTTTCACTGACTTCTTCTCAGACGTGATATGAGCAAGGATGCTACTCAGCAGCTTCTCGAAGCGGAAGAGCTGCCGAAAGAGCTTGCATCTCAGAGTCATCTCGAAGACCAACCTGCGAAACCCCTTTCTGATCATTGCATGCAATCTGCCGGTGTTGTATGAGGCAACGGGAGTTGGTCGAGGACCTGCTCCCGCAGCCTAGTGTCCCAGCCTCGAGCCCATTGTGTGCGAGAAGCGCTGCCACTCGATACAGGAGCTCCACCGGCGAATTCTAGCCTTATGCCAGCAGCCGGCTCCCTGTACAGAGAGCCGTAAGATCCTTCGACATATTGCAATGCTCTGCAAACAAGTTTGCGGAACTAGGCCAGGGAACACGAAGTTTCTCGGCATTGGCTCCGGCCTTCAGCGGAAGTTTGGTGAGGCACCACGCTGTGGAGTATGTTTGTCCAAAAAATGGTGCTCATGCCCGACAATGGCTGCTTGCCAGGTCACCATGGCCAGAAACGATCCAGCAGTGGTCCCATGCAAACCAGCCCAGGGAAAGTTACCGACACTTGCGGCATAAGGCCTCTGTTCTTGCTGCACGGAATTCTTGTTTTCAAGGCTGGAACAGTACCGGAGCCTGAAAGCCGACGGTTCATGGCAGCTGTGCGACGCGCAGTGCTCCCAAGACTGTTCAAGAGTGTCAAACGTAAGCTCAGCAGATCTAATCTTCTTCGTGCATTTCGTCTGTTTCCCACACAGGTGAAAGAAGAACTGGATCCGGACGGAACAGGCGCTGGAAAACTCCCTGCGTGCCAAGCCAACATGTGAAGGGGCAAGCGTCTGCATTTGTCAAGTCCTCGAAACACCTGAAGGCCTCGACTTGCACGACACCGGTGCTGGTCTCAGTTGCGATGGACGGTTGGAAGTCCTCGAATCGGCATACAAGCTTCTGTTGCACGTGCAGGCACGGACATGGAGATCTTCCCACGGGTCATGGGTTGTTGCCTCGACTAGCTGTCTCTCTTGGCAGATGTGACTAGAACCAGGCTGCACCTCAGGGTTATGCAAGAGGCGTGTCCTTCAAGGACACCCGTCCCTAGCCGAGGTGGCAGACCGTCCTTCGACAAAGGTGATGGAGTGCAACGGTTGGACTCGAGCTGAGTGGCACCTGGGAGACGCCTGCAGCCCTTTGCTCTCAAGTGATGTGGCCCGTGGTTGCTATTACTGCAAAGCTTCCTTCTGCATGTCGGCCATAGCTTGGGTTCTCTGCCTGTGAGCTCGCCATGGGCTCATGCATCTCCTTCCTGCCACTGCCCTGCGCTCAGAAGAGCAAGACCCCGAACCAGAACTGAGCCACGGCCAGGGGCCAGGGCAACTTCTGCAGCAACGCAAACTTTACATCTTTCAGCTGTTCCTGCATGTGCTCGTGCTGAACAAAGCTTTTTGCGCTCAGCTACCGTTGCTTTGATTCGGGTGGTCATGGTGTCCAATGGTCCCTTCGAGAGGGGGATGCTGGCGCAGGGGGAGGGGGGGGGCAGCAGTTTCAGTTTTGCTCTTCGAGCTTGCCGTGGGCAACCGTGGCTGAGGACATGATCTGTAGAGTGTAGTGTAGAGGTTATTAGGCAACGAGTCGGGGTGATCCGAAAATTCATGCCGAAGCCAATGCAAGTGTGTCCCATGGCTTTACTGCAAAGACAAGGAGCGGTGAACGTAACCATGTGCACACAATGTTTTCGGCTAAGTCGCGCCTGCTAGTCTTGGGGTTTGTCGACGGCTGACGGGTGACGGGTGCTTTTTGTTCTTGCATTTGGCTTGAGATTTCCCTAGGTAAACAAGCCAATCGCGCAAATTAGCCCGGCAATCTCTTCATTGGGTTTTGTCGCCTTGCTTAACACGCCATGGAGAGGTGAGGAGTCCCTTCGGACGCCTTTCCAGCAACACACACGAAAGAGGCGATCGACAACTTAGCAAATCGGCGAAGGTCAACGTGGAAGAAAGACAACATAGAGTTTCACAAAACCCGTGCCGTTGCATTGTTTTCGCCATCGTTTCAGGCTGCCGCAGTCTTTCCGCCTTTTGGAGTGATGGCTTTATCCGGTTCTATGCGCTACGTAAGTCTTTCAGTTTTCAGGGACGCTGGGTTCTTATGAGTTGTGCAGCCCGGCGGCCGAGGTCGACCATGCTCAACGTCCTTCGCCACAGGAAGGTGCCTGTCGGCTTTCCGTCTCGCCTGTTGCAGCGAACAGCATAGAACCATATCGAACCCAAGCTGCTTGTGGTTAGGGTCTTGGCTCGAGGAAGGGATGGGAATGTGCCTAGGCAGTCGCGCAGCGGCCTTTGCCTTAGTTGCTTTCCTCTGAACGATCCACCATAAAATTCCATTGGACGACTGCAATCATGTCTACCGAGCCTCTGCTACCCTCTGTTGGTGACGAATCCGTTAGGAATCAAGGCGCGCAAGGCACTAACATCGTCATGCCGAGCTTTAACTCAATCTTCCAAGGCACTGGAATGGAAGCCGACCCGGCTGGAGGGCGAAGTCAGACACGCAATGAGCTAAAGATTGATACCTCTGGTGACGCCTCGTACGATGACAAAGCCGGAGCAGACCCACAGCTAGCTGCGCGCAGATTGGCTCAGGCTCTGCAAGATGCCAAAGCCACAGATGCCAGAGGCTCCGTCCACTGGTGGCTGCGCGGCGGCGCAGGCGGCGCAGGCGGCGCAGGCGGCGCAGGCGGTGCAGGCGCAGAGACACGGGAGACAGCTCAGGACCGGGAGCTGCAGGAGACCTGCATCTTCGCGCTCGTGCAAGCAGATGGGCGGACTCGTCGTCTTGTCAAAAAGATGGGCTCGGATGACAGGGAGGTCAATGAAGGAACGCCAGACTTTGATGACACCGCCTCATGGCAGTCCTGGAGGTCGTTAGCCAGCCATGGCTCCTTGCGACTGTCAAGGTCTGCGAGTGAAGCCAGCTGCCACAGCACCACCAGCGGTGCTGCCATGCAGGAGCTGCTGGCTGGTAGTACCTCGGCCACCATCAATGCACCTTTCCCCGATGACTCGATAAGCTTCTGCTTGCAGGTGTGTGCCTTCACACCCTCCTTGCTGACGAGCTTGCCTGCGTTTTCTTTGGTTATCCTGTGGTCGCTGATGCGCGAACATACAGCATCAAGGGTTCCTCACATACACAGGTTGTCGACTTTAAGTGGCCCACGAGCGGATTCGGAAGCTGAGGTGATGACCGTCACCTGGGTTCTATCGCAGCCGGCAGAGACTGGGGGACGTGCATATTCGCAGAGCACAGGTGCGACACGGGAAAGTTGGGGAAGTCGAGTACGAAACGAATGGTCAAGCCCTTGGTGCAATCATCTCCTACTCTTTGTGTCGGTGGCGAGAGACTAGACAGCAATGGATCCTGGACATCTTTTGCAGTTGACGGGGATCCTTCTCCGCTGCCCTCCCCGATGACGTCTCCAAATTCTAAGAAGAACGGAAGCTGTTTTGGCCGAACCTTAAGCCAAGCCAGTTGCATCAGCAATACTAGCCCTGTGGCTATGAACGAGCTCTTGATAAACAGAGCCCTGGCTGCTTGATGTATCTTCTGTTTTCTTTGGAACTTTGTGATGATCCCGATCTCTGCGCAGTCTTGAGATCATGTGTAGCTGCAGGCGATGATGACGTCTCCTTCCCTGCGGCAGGATCTGTCCTGGCAAAGCCTCGCAAGACGCCGAAGATGGTAAAACCGTTGGTGCCACCTGCGCTTTGCAAGCGTTTAGACAGCGAAGAAGATGCAGAGGCGAAGTGCAGGCGATTTGCAAGCGAGGCCCGCGCCGAGTTGATGGACATCGTGCCGCAAGAGCGAGGACGCACTGAATCGAGTTAGCAACGTAGTCAGTAACATATTGGTGGCGTCGAGAAATTTTTGGCGTATGCCTGCTTTCCATGTGCCGACCCAAATTATATAGCAGCATGTGGCAAGTTGTGTTTCACTTGGAAATTACATGAATTGACCCTTGACGGCGACAGGTCCAAGGGTAGTTTGTCTCTCTCCCTCTCTGCAGATCGCTGTGCGGGAACTTTTGAGGAGAGGCTGTCCTAGTGGTTGTGGCCTCGTCTGGCACGCGTGTACCAGATTTTTTTTACGTAGCACGTTGATATCGGCATGAACTAAATACATACTGAGAAGTTGAAGCAGAACCGGCTGAGATTGTTCACGAGCGTGGAGCCGAGGGATTGGCCCAACAGCATGAGGAGACAGAGTATGTGCGACAGTTTTCGGTTTTTCGGCACTACTGGGTGCCGAAACTCCTCTGAAGCTTCAGTAGGTCGCCTCAAGGGCGAAAGTGCAGTACCTCGTTCGGCAAACCTAGCCGTGTCAAGGACCGTTCTTCTCATGTCATCCGGAGCCGAAGTGTTTGCAAACTACGCCTGCAGTTGCAGTACGCAGACCTCAGTTGCGGTTGCACATGATGGCGTTGGCATTTGCGCTGAGTGAAATAAGTGTTCCAAGCCAGGTGCTCGAGGCGATGGTCGCTTCTCGACGTTGTCTGCGGCTAGGCCTAGGCGTGCTTTGCGTTGGAGGTGCTGTAACTTTGGAGAGGAATTCAGCAGGCTCTTTTTTGGGATTGGCAGTTCGCCATGTCGGCCATCCTAAGGGTCAAGTGAGGCACTACCGCAACTGAGATGTTGTTTTGTGGCGGTTGTCTTGTGATTAGTGCTGCGGCAGCATTCAAGCGGCCAGGCGAGCGGGTCTGAGTTGCTCAAGCTGGAAGCGGAGATGGGAAAGCGGAGTAGGCGGAGTATGGTCTCACCAGTTCACATCCGACGGCAGCCCGAAAAAAAGGCACATTTTCCTGCTCGAGACGGCATGGAACCGTTTCGACACATATCCCCCGGCGATCGTGAGCCGAGGACCAGAAGCTGGGTCTTCACATGGTGGAAGGTGCAAAGCCAAGCTTCGGACTACTTATGCAAATAGCACGGCAGCTTTGCCGAAGAGCTGGTCGAGGTCCGAACATCGTCTGCGGCGACACCGGCAGTGCCAGTACCTGAGGATTTTGCAAGCAAATCTGGGCGAAGGATTCGGGTACTTTCCGGTATTGCATCGCGGCTTTCGACAGCGGGTGCATGACTTCGCCAGGCATCTGTGAGTGTTTTTGCAGTGTACTCATGAGGCCGAGTCTGGGAGGGAGCCGCGTTGTGGGTCAAGCTGCCGGTACCAAAACGTGATATGTTGCCTGACATGATGGAAGTCCAAAGGGTCGCCCATCCTTTGAACCTTTGAACAAGCGTGCTACTCATCAAGTTATGGTCCTTTGCACCGTCCACACTCCTTGCTATGCAGACACACGTTCCGAAGAGACATCGACGCGTCCGGTGTGATTCCGACTTTCAGCCATCTTCTTGAAGTCTTTGTCTCTTGAAAAGCCAAAACAACAGATTTCGGCATGATGTGACATGCCTGCAATGAAGTGTGGCCTCTGACGGCTGTCTGACCTGCTTACGCTACCGCTACAAGTACGTCATCGCTGGAACGGTTGTCGACGGTGCCCCCTTTGTGAGTGGTCGTATGATTCTTTAGTCCTTAGTCCTTGCGGAAATGGCTAGCGGAATTGCTGCAGGATTTGCCCATGGTTCTTGCTGCTCTACGGCTCATGTGTGGAGACAAGATGGTCGCAGCCCTGGAAACTAAGTCATTCAATGTAGCTTGAGGTAAGACCTCAAACATAGAAGTGAGCTGCGCAGTTCAGGCAAGAAGCATGCGTTCGATCAGGTTGAGCGGTGGCAGGAGCGATTGCGGCAGGAGGAGACGGAGCAGACCGGCGAGCAGGCTGGGGTCGGATCGCTACAAGCACATGGAGTGGCTGCTTTCGCTTTGATAATCCAGAATCATGTTGGATCTGCAGGAGGAGGAGCCAGATGACGGAGAGTCGGCGACTTATAGCACTGTTCGGTTTGACCCTCCTGCGTGCCGGGACATGCAATATTCTGCCTACATCCCCAAGGATGGATGAAGCTGCCAAGGAAGAAGCGGAACGGAAGGCCTGCATTCGACACTTCGTGACAGATGCTCTAACGGGCCTTCATGCAGGCGCGTGAAGAAGAGGAGGAGGAGCGGGAGGCAAGTATGGCAAGGCAATGTAAGGGCGCGTAGATGCGTCGCCTTTGCGAGGCGCGTGTTTCCGCTGGAAAATTGGCTGTGTTGTTCGTGGCCGGGGCGGCAGCTGCCGAAAGCGAGTTGTGAGAAAGTCTGCGGCTTGCGCTCTCGCTTTGTCATGAGAAAGGCGTCCCCGGAGTCGTACTCCAAGAGCCCAAAGGTGGCTGACCAGGCCTCATGGGCCTTCAAGAGGAGCTTTGCAGTCCCGCCTGGTGCATGGAGGTCCGCAAATGGTGTGACCTATCCGGGGCGCATTGTGACAACCCTGGCGCTCTGAAATGGACACGTTTATCGTCAACAATGAACCAGCAGTTGCTATTGTCGTTGGCTCCAGGTGCCGTTCTGCCGTCACCGGATGTTTTGGTGTACACTCTTGCCAAGTTTGCTGAGGAGAGGTGCGCTGCAACTTGTGAATCGTTGGGACAAGATAGCGTGTTGCACAATAAGGTCCGGCTCGTCGGTCACAACATGTCACCACGGTGAACCTGTGTGCCTGGGACGACATGTGCTGACAGCCAAACGCACGGGAGTTCCAGTTCCTGGTGGGGGCAGGGGCGACCCGGATCTTGAAAGGGACTGGCCTGGAACCCAGACCGTGAGAAGCTGCGAAGCTCTTTGCAGCAATGCGCAGTCTGCCCGACAGACGCGTCTGGCGGTGCTTCTGTCTGTTGCCTCCAAGAATGGCATATGGTCAGCAGCATGTCAGTTGCGCTGCAGGACACTGACCTCGCTCCCCCATCGCACGAGTCTCAGAATATCTTGGAACCGGCTCGTGCTGTGGGAGTTTGGTCTGACCAAGGTGATTCGGTGACCTCGCTTCCTGAACTGCCCGAGCCCAGTGGAGGCTCCTCCATGTGTGGGTCGTGTCTGATCACACATCCCCAGCTGTTGGAGAGGCTCGCCCAGCCTGATTCCAGGCAAGGCGTGGGCGCCGTAAGCGCCAGCCTAAGATCTGCACATAGGCCGCCATAGGCCACATGGCACATCCGTTGGAGCTGCCTTTTGCATGGTTTCCAATGGACATGCCGAGGTACGTCCGAGTCCTGCACATGAGACGATTCCGGATGCCGGCTTTGGATGGAACGAACTGTCAGACAAAGGGGCAAGTCAGCTATCGCAGAAGAACTCTCAGAAGCCGCAAGAAAGGCAAAATTCGGGATTTGCTTCCCTTCAAAGCCGCATGCAAGCGCAAAGCCCACGCCTCGGGGGAGCCGAAGGAGCTTGCATACACCTTTTCCTCAGCCAAATTTAGCCAAACCCGTCCCACAAAATGCCTTGACTTGGACAGTTTCGGAGGCAAAGGTGCAATCATTTCGAGTTCTGGCCTTGCTGACCTTGTCGAAGATCGCGCAAAGGTCGCGTTGCGGTCGCTAAAGGCCCCACCAAGGACTGCAGGAAGAGTCTTATGTTGTGTCAGGACAAAACCGCACGTCGTGTTGTCCCAAGCTTCGCAGTGCCTGTGGTGTTGATAGTGCTAGTGCTTTGCATCGTCACCAAAGTGATGGGTGATGACACTGGTAATCCATTGGAAGCTTCGGTGTGCAGCGCCAGGAAGCCTTAGCTAAGCACCCGGCTCGCAGCCGTTGCCATCAGGGCAAAAAGCCGCTTGCTATTGTCGTGGTTCTGAGCATCCGACCCGACGAGAGTGCGGCAAGCTTGCTCTGCCACCTTCGAGTGTCTCTTTGTCTCCCTGCCCTTGCTCTTGCCATCGGCCTCGCCCTTGCCATGTGCTGTCCCTTTGTGCACCGCTTCTTGGCTTCTGCAGTCACGTTGCTTGACAGGCCCGCACAGGATGGCACAGGTATGGTTTTGCATATCGGCTATGAAGGAGCCAGAGCCTTGCCTTTGCAAACGCAGCAAATCGAAGGTTCAGTGTGTAGCGTTGGAGCGTTGGGTCATGGTTGCCCCTGGCCCTTCCAGACTGACACCTCTGTTCTCTGAAGCCATTGTGCATCTTTCGGCATTCCGCAGGTATGTCTGCCGTCAGTACTGATGACTTTCGTACTTGGCCCTCAGGTTTCTTTTTCCCGTCAGTATGGGCCAAGATGCACGTGTTCGTTTATGATCGCATTGAGCGGGGAAGCTGGAGCAAAGAAGTTGTGCCAGATTAAAGCCAGAGAGTTTCGATTTGGACTTAAGACGGCTACTGGTTCCAGGTAGGTGGATGCCGGCATCCCAGCTAGCTCCGACTTCGTTGGGCCATGTCGCGGTAACTCGCGGCAGCGAGGTTGCGGTCACAGCGCGATTCGAAGGACTTGCGAGCAAGGCACAGCTCGAAACAGTCTGGGTAGATAGCTTGCTCTAAGCCTCTCAGCCTTGCCCAAGACTGCAAGTACCTGTGGCACATGTCACACGATTGGGTGGAACCGACAGGGCAAGGAATGTTGATGGAAAGGGATACATGTCGCCAAGACAACTTGATGTTCTTGAGGCCTGGCTCACCTGCAAGCTGTCTGTGCTTCTGCCCGTGGACGGTTTACCCAAGCAAGCAGTGGCCACGCAATTGCAAGTATTGCAGGGGCACCTGCCACCCTAAAGCTCCTGTTATGCCTTGGGGTACGACTAGCATTGTGCTGGTACCGGCTGTGCTCTTCGTCGAAATGAGGATGAGCTCGTGTCGGCTCTGCAGCTGCAGCGTGCAGCCTATCTTCTGGAAGATGTTCCTCTGGAATCCCTGGGGCACCCGCGCTTCGTCGACGCGGCTTCCGAGCGAAAGATCTCTGGCCTCAGTGTTGGTCCACGAGGCTCCGGCTCTCCCCGGCTCTCCTAAAAACGGTCCTAGTCCTAAACAAAGCGGTTTACAGCGCTTTCTGAGGTCAGAGCGCCGTGGCGCTGCTGGGAGCGTCCGCAACGTCCGCAGGGCCGTCCGCCGGGCGGCCGCGCCTCTGCGCGGCGCTGACGAAGCCGAGCTTCCAGCGTCTCGGCCTCGAGGAGCCGCTGCCAGGCAGATCGGACGATGAAGTGACCGAGTGTGCTACTGCTCTGAGTGTGGAATCTACTTTGGTGATCAGTACATCTACAGTGCCGCTGTTCTTGGGAGGTGCCGCGAAGCTCCAGGCAAAGCTCTTGTCAGGCAAGTGCCACGTCGTCGTGGACTTGCCCATTTCCAAAACGAGGGCAAGGAGGGCAGCTAAAACGAAGGAACCGGCGACCAGCAGGTGGCAGGCTTTGACAGCGCCTTTGGGCGAGACCATCTCTTTGCAGGTGACTTGCCTCAAGGCGCCAAAAGAACACCAGCACGGCTCTCGCCTGCCTGCTTCGAAGGCTTACTGCGACCGAGAGATGGAGCCTCCCTACGACTTCGCACCCTTGCAGTCTGCATCGTCCCGCATCCATTGCCAGAAGGCAAGCGGGATTGCGTTGTCCATCGGTTTTGGAGTCCGGGCCACTCGATGCATTTGCAGAATGCGCAGGTGCCAGTCCAACATCGTTTACTACGTCTTGGACAAACCCTTCGCAGGCTTCGCACCCTTGCCTTGCTCTGCTTTGCACATCCCTCGTAGCTCAGTTTGGCTAGGCCGCCTTTCGAGCGCTTGGTGCTGGAGCCTTGGCAGTGGAGCGATCCCCAGGACCAGGCCGCCAAAGCTGCCACTCTGGTTGCAAGGGCTCCATGTGCTCATGTGCTGTGTTCCGTTGAATAGAAAAGAACTTGGCTTTGCAGCTTGCTTCCTTCGGTATTCAGGCTGCTCGTTTCTCCGCATCGTATGGCCAAGCTTGTGAAGATCTCCTCGATTGGTTGGGCGGGCTACACCTCGAAATAGACATCCCAGAGGGAGATCTTGGGCAGGTGGGGGTGGCAAGAGCAGGCATTGCAAAAACTAGTAACTAGACCACAGCCTATTGCCCTGCAATAAGGTCTCCAATCCTGGAATGGACACTGAGGCCAAATCAGCTTGTAAGCTAGGTGAAATAGGGTCACTTCCGAACGTCTGAGGCACTTCTGTGGACTATGGGCGAAAGTTTGCTGGGACCTTCCCAGATACAGCATGCTTTGCAAGTCTGCAAAAATGCATTTGCGAAGCAGGCAGCCGCTCGATTAGATTTGAGTCTTGTCCAGTGTGCAGGAGCACCCATGATCACCCATGCATCTAGCGAAGCTGATGTGTGTCTGTGGAAGGAGTGGTTTTTGCTTTCAATCTGGGGTGCAGAGGATGCACCAATCTCTCATCATGGTGGCGCACATGGCTTTGATACCACCGGAGCTCATCACGCACATCTTCTGTGCGTCCGTGGGAGGTCTGAGGAGCCAGAGGATCCACGAGGCTTGCTGATCGAGGGGGTGAATGCCCTTGATTCTGCCGCGTGATCCGACTTCTTGCAGGCGAGATTTGCAGAAGGTATGCAGCACTGGGCATGGCTATGAGCTCGAGCCAATCGGGATTCTGGCACACTCCGGACAGTGCGTGTGATAAGCAGGGCAACAAAGCGAGCCCCCGCTGCGCATCGCTGCGCATCGCTGCGCTTCGTAGCCATGGCCATGGTGGATGCCGGGCCGGATGGGTGTGATGTGGCATGATAGTCCTGTGATGTTCAAGATATTCTGTCGGAGCTCTTGGGAAGGAGAGTCCATAGGAATTTCCTCCTTCCTGTCAAGACCTAGACGGTTTTGCAGCGCAAGAAGCAGGGGCGTGGTATGCTTGCCGGCTACGTTCCTGTCTTGTCCCCCTAACTTTAGGGCTTTTGCCAAGTTGGGCCTGCAGTAGGATTATGCATGCATTCGAGGTGTTTCACAATCCATTTCGACTGGAGGTGGGGTTTCTGGTCTTCACTGTACGAATGTAGGTAGGCAGGTACGTACGTACGTATGTATGCATGTAGATAAGTATGTAGGGTGTGTATATGCAACCCCATAGAACGCACTACGACCAAAAGGTCACCACCACCAGCAACCACTTCTGCAGCTCTGCAAGACCGGGTTTGTGTTGCAGGCAGAACACCATCGTCGCGGTACATGAGCCTCATGATGTTTTTGTTGGGCGTGGCATTGAACATCGTCGATAACTTGTCCCTGGCTGGCACCCTATCAGCGCAAGCCACGCATCCCTGTCATCCCTGTCACAACTACAGCTCCGTTGCGTCTCTATATAGTGGCAAAAATTACTCGCGATGTACTATCACCGTTAGTACTATAGAGACTCTAGACGAGACCTGGACAGACCAAACTACAATTGCTGCAACACCGTTACTTCTACATAAAAAACACTCGTCAACGCACACATGCTTTCCACATACGACACAAACTCAACTCCGTCCCGCAACCGCTTCAAAGTAAGATGCCGCTGTCAAACAGTGGTTGCAAGCCGGCCCCTGAAACATGAACAACCGGTTCGACTGAAAGGCTTTTCTTGTGGCGCTTTCGTCGGCAGGACTGGCTTAGCAGGTTGGCCGGAGATCTGAAACAGTTTCGAAGTGACATGCACTGAGAATTCAGCTGCGATTTGAGCACAAACTTCCGGTAATTCCTTCAGCTCAAGCCGGCTGCCGCGCGCGAGTAGTCGGCGGCCGCAGCCGGATCCTCGGGAGGTAGCTTTCCAACAATTCGTCAGGGACACCTTCAGGGCAACAGCTGCTTTCATTCCTTTCACTCAGCATCGATACATGCAGTGCAGGTTCTTGGCCTTGCAAGTTTTTCATCTGTATCACAACGGCCGGCCGCTGTTGAACACTCACAGACACAGGACGCAAACAGAGCGGAAGCGAATGATCCGAAGGTGTTCCTTTCCCCGAAAAGGCGGCGTTGAGCACCTTGGGTGTCATCCCTACGGTCCTGAGCCGAGGCCAAATGAAGTGGACGCGATGGGCAGTCGCGCTGCTGCTGCTGCCCTGCAGACCTGTCTCAACTGCATTGAAGAGCAGGACAAGCTCGATGTCTTTGTGTTGCTGTCGAGTTGACGCAATGAACGCAATGACCCCATTGCGGGGAAATTAAGTCGATTGTGAGGACTCCTACGCGGCCTGATTTGGACAGTGAGTTGGCTTGGAAGGAGTTCACGGATCCGTCTGGACAGCAATTTCGGCTGAATGTGCTGACCGGCGAAGCGCAATGGGACCTCAAGCGACCGCAGAAAGAGCCGGAGACGGCCAGCGAAATCGGAGCTGCTGAGAAATCCGTTACAGCCTCACGGGTGAAGCCAGAGAACAGTGCTGCCTCAAATCCAGTGACCGAGCCCGAGGAAAAGGCACAGAAGCCAGACGCAGCTACAATGCACGGTTGGTTAGATAGCTGGCTGGGGTGGGGGGAGACCGTGGTGGATCCGGCATCACAAGAAGTACGTGCTGATGTGGCAAAGGATCTTGGGCTTCCGGCACCGCCTCCCACTTCTGAGGCTGCTCATGGGCTTCGGAGGCATACGGTGGTCGAGGCAGTGGAACAGAAGCCCCTGCTGCGCACGCAACCCACAGCAGAATCAGTGCCCAGGGCAGGTCAGGTTAATGGAGCCAGTGCACACGCCAACAGTGGCACAGCAACAGCGGGGCCTGAACCTCAAAAAGAGACACGAATCGCCATTGCCGACGAACCACCCAGAGTCGCGACTGATGCAGCAGCCGCAGCTGCGGAGGCCCGGCTTCCGGAACCCCTTAAGCTCAGCAGTTGTAAGAGTCGAAGGAGATGTTGGCAAACATTGACAAGCGGCCAGACCTGGAGCAGGCGCTTGTGGTGCCAGTCGAGTCGAGAAGTTCCCAGTGTGCTCCTGTCAGGAAGCAATCCGCGACAGCTAGGCCAGGGATGTGCTCGGCATCACGCAAAGTCGGCTCTCTCGATTCTCGAGGACGAGCTGATGCTTGAGGAGGTGGCTCGAGTGCTTCACGACCTGGAAGCCTCACAGGACGGGATACCGCTAACATAAAGCTTGTGCACGCCGCTTCACCCTCACTTGTTGCAAGGAGAAGCTGCTGAACCGCCGATGAATGAAGCGTTCGACTTTGAATCACCGTGTAATGTGGCAAAAAAGCGGACTTTTTGGCATGTGCATGCGCGCCGGGAGTTTCGGTGAAGGCGGTTGCAGTCCGACACGCGTCAGCCCTCGGATCAAGCGGAAGCATGTTTGGGCATGGCTGAGTTGCTGACTTTGCTGAAGCCCACATCGTATGGGTGGTTGGAGACGAGATTGATTTTGCAGGCAAGGGCAAGGGAGTATGCGCAACACATTCCTAGGAGTATTAGCATTTGCAGTGTGAGCCGGACCGTCAGAGTCAGCATAAGTTCCGGACAGCATGGAGACACATGCCATCACTGATTGAACAGAAACTTGGCTACACGAGGAAGCTCTTGGACCTCACGCCTTGGCGCCTTAGGACATAGCTCCGTCAGACAGCGAGTCAAGATGGACTGATCTGAAGGACGAGATCCAAAGGATCCGCAGAATTCTGAGAGCTTCACAATGAGATATGTTGTCCGTATGTCATATCACGCATGACGAAGTCCGGCGACTAAGCATGTTCGGTTGCCCTCTGCAGTCCTAGGAAGTGCGGAGTGCCCTTGGATCTGGCGCTGAGTTTCCTGAGTTGGCGCGACTTAGTGCCGGCTTCCGCGGTTTGCACTGCTCCTTGGTCGTCATGGAACCAGAGAGCGAAGAGGCGGCGAGGAGTTCTTGTCTCGAAGATTTTCGAGGCTCTGCTGACCGCGCAGTCAGGGCGACCTCTTTGCTGCTGCAGCACGGCGGGGCCACTAACAGCCTTACCGTCCACCGATGGTGCCTTGCGCTGGCCGGGGCCCCGGTTCCTCCGCGAAAGGCCTTAGGCGAGGCCTCAGCCCTTCACGATCCTTCACGGGCTCTGAAGGCTTGCCAGGCGGGCAGCTGACGGTTTCGGTGGAGGCGCGGCCCATCTTTCTTTCTTGATCCGCAATCTTGATCGCGCATTGCAGCTGATGTGAAGGGCTGCACTTTCTGAAGATTAGCACCCTGGCTGAATCAGGGATTTGGCTCTCCGGTTCCTAGTCCTAGTGCATGTTCTGCCAAGGCGACACGGCCTGCCACCACACGGATGCTGGAGCTGTGGCGATTTCCAAGGAATCTCGGAAGCACAACACCAACGGCTGCAACATCATCAATAGCTTCAACACCGACAAACGCAAAGAGCAAAGCCACAGCAAGCAGATGCAGCAGCTTTTCAAGATAGCGCTCAGGTCTGTGAGACGTTGCGAGTCTTGCACTTTCACAGCAAGGCGACCGGCTTGAGCAGCAGATACAGGTGCGCGCGACTGGGCCATGCCTGTCAGGTGGCACGAGCATGCGAACCTCGGCTGACACCCAGGGCATTGCAGATCTTGTTGGGCAGAGGGAGCAGCCGGCCCGCACTAAGCCGCGTGGTTCTTCATGGAGATGCTGCCACTCAGTCGCAGCTCAGTGGTGCAGCGGTCCGGTGTAGTTTATGAGGAACCTCTCTCGAGACCAGGTGACGGATGCGGCTCTGGAGCTTCTGAGCGGCTGCCCGCAGCTTCGTTCGCTGTGGCTCAGTTGCTCCGCCCATGTTTCTGGGGCAAGCTTGAAGAAGGTCGTCTCGGCTACACAGCTGGAGGACTCCGACCAGCCTGTGGAAGCATGTGGCAACATGACTCGAACGGTGAGGACCTTCGTCTTGACAGCTTGCTGAAAGCCTCTGGTTCTGACGTTGTGGATGCCATCGCAACGAAACCGCTGCGCTGCTTCTTGGCGTCCGATGCACCACAGTTTGCCTTGCTATCCGGCTTGGAGGTGGGTCGCTGGCAGGCCATGCATGGCCATGCCACATTTTGTCTTTCATTGAAGGGGAGCTGCCCTGCTGCCATGTCAATGTCTGCAGGCGGTGCGGCGCCTCGGCATCTTGTTCGAGGTGGAGGGTGGATGCAAGAACGGTCCGATCGTCCAAGACCCCTTGCCATCCCTGATGCATGTTTTGTCTTCTTTCAGGCAGGCTGCCCAGCAGCTATGGTCGGCTGCCGATCGCTGGAAGCAGAGGCGGCCATGGCATTGGGGGCCTTGCCCGTGCTGGAGGCCCTGGCCTTGGCGAACGTCCATGCCACTTGGGATCCACTTAAAATGAAAATGCGATGCAATGCGCAGTTGCTGCTTTCGGTTTTCGTATTCTGGCAGTCCGCACTGCGCGCTGAGGCGGGAGACGTGCTGCTGCAGTCCTTTTGGCAGGGGCGTTTGCAGCCGGCAGCGAGGTCCAGCCTCCGATCCCTGTCGCTTGAGGGCGCCCATGGAGCGACTTTGCAAGGATTTCCGAGTCCGAGACTTCGAATTGTGCACGTGTCTGGACTCTGACGCACTCTATGAGCCTATGATTCTATTGCAGAGGAGTCTGGAATCTCGTACGAGCCCTTGGACCCGATGATTGTCCTATGTTGCATATGTTGCATGACAATTGCCGGGGGCATGCGCCTTTGGAGCAAAGGCTCAGCCAGTTATGGTCAGCTAGCGTTCTGGCTGCGCAGGAAAGGATTCACACCATGGGGACATGGATGAGCTGCAGCTTACAGCAAGCAGCTGAGCCGCACATTGCCGCACGTTTCATTTTGAGCTCATTGCCTGACTGTTGAAGATATCATATTGAACTCCTGTCAAAGGCAGGGAGCATGTGCTCGTCAGACCCGCATCAGGCCAGGCCTGTCCGATCGACGACCATGCCCTCCGGAAGATTGTGAGCTGCGGGATCCGGTTCCTCACCCTCGAAGGTGCCAGCATCAGTCTCCTGGCATTGTTGGCATGCGTAGTTTGTCTAGTCCATAAGATTTTACAGACAGCCCAGGGCTCAAGTTGCGCGTTGAACCTCTGAACCTGGTGCAGGATGTCCACGCTTTTTGGGTCGCATCGGAGAACAGAGATGAAAGCAGAACGTGGCAAGTGCACGTAGCAAAGTCCAATTCGGTCCAGTTTCGGACCCGACCTCTTAGACCTTGTTCAAAAACTCGGGAGACATTGGGGACCTCAGCCTTTGCACAAAAGGTTGAGGCATGAGAAGATGGAGGCGTTCGGTCGCCTGCAACAAAACGGAGCCTTGCCCGACAGTGGCACAGCTCTTTTGGCACGACTTCGATAGTGAAAGCTGCGAAGTCGCATCGATGTGGGAATCCTTGCCCGAGAGCGGCATCGAAGAAGGAGTTGGACAACACAAAAAGGGACCGAAGCCGACCCGATAGCCTCAGCCTCCAGGTCTTCCAGGTTTTTGGCTTCAAAGGCAGAACTGGCGCAGAGATTTGCAGAGCCAGGAAGCACCGTACACAAACAGAGTTTTTGTCTACCGAGGCTCGCTCTGCACATCTTTGTTTTCCCCTGTCAAAAATGGAGCTGGATCGGTGCAAAATCTACCTATCAAATTGCTAAAAGATCCAAAGCAGTGCCTGCCGCTAGATACTTTCGCGAGGGTGAGTCAACAGGCACGGTGGCAATTGAACGAAGGTTGTTGGTAGCATCCGTCTTTGGACCGACAGCACAACCTGTAACAAAATGTAGACACACACGGCCAGGCAAGGCAGGAATCTGCCGTTGCGTTGGGCTGCAAGCTCTGCGATCCAAGTCTTGCCCTCATCTTGACTTGCTTCTGGACTGCAGTTAAGCTTCAGTGAAGATTGGAATCACGATACAGACGATACAGGTTCAAAGCCTTCAGGGCAATGAAAAGGCAGCTTTTTTGGTGAATATCTTGGACGAAGGCCGCCAAAGCCGCGGCTTGGCCCAGCAGCCGGGCGGCGCTTCGAAGCCGGGCGGCGAAGTTGTCCAAGCGGGAATAAGGGGACGAAGACGCATGGATCGACCTCAGATGTCGTCCCTGTCTTCCCCGACGTCCGGCTTTTAGGACCTGACCAGCAGCTCTGCTATTGGTGGAACAAGGGCTACAAGTACGACGACTTGAGTTGGTATGGTCTCGAGCACTTGACAGAATGAACGTGTCAAAAGTCGCGATGCAGAATGATGCAGCGCAGGGATTGAACCGCTTAAGTTGATGTGAGATACTTGTTGCTTTGCCCGAGGCTCGCAGTCGAAGCTTTCTTGTTGCGCTCACAGCCAGCTTCTGTTGCCGGGGTTGCTAGAGGCACAGAGCCATGGAAGCTGTGTTGCACATGGAAAAACCTCGTGCGAGGATTTCGAGCGCCTGCAGGAAGACCGCTCCGAGAAGCCTGAATACTGACGACGGGGTTGTGCAACTACTTGCGCTCGAATGCATTGCCGACGCCGCGTGTCGTCGATGGAGAAGAGTGCCCATGGTGGAGTCGTCTCCATGTGACAGGCGACGGAGTGGGGTTGACCTCGAAAGAACGCGACGATTGGAAAGCAATGATACTGTGCCTCTCCAATTCCGCCATGGCCTGGACTGATTCGGAAAAGCCAAAGATGCCGAAGGCCTCCCTCAAGAGCACTCGCGACGGCAGCGCATTCCACACCGAGCCACCGCTCTGCAGGTGCCGGTGACGGGGCTCACGAGAAAGCAGCTGCCTTTGGAACCGACCAAAGAGCGATTCTCCATCCAGGCGCCCCCGGCCCTTGTTTTCAGGCGCAGCAATCCCGAACAACCGACTCCGTGCAGCCGACTGAAGCGCCTGGCTGCTGCAGCTGGGAAGACTTCATGTGCTGTATGGAAGGGACGGCATGTCGTCAGCCAGGGTCCCGCTTGCGGAGTTACATTTTTCTCGGACCAGCTCTGCGTTTGATTCCATTCTGAGCACGATCCAGACGGGCCCGAAAACTTCTTGGGCTGAGGTGAGTGGCCGTCGAATCGTCGAATGCCAAATTCCAGAT